TACTGTAAGTTAAGTTTTTGCCTGCGTTAATTGCGTTACAGGTGCGCCAGCGTCTCTATTTGCGAGCCTGTAGGCCTTGCGTTAGGTAATGGAATGGTGTTACCTATTCTGTCTCAAGATAGTTGGTTGCTACTACCTACTTACGGTACGATGGGAGCTTCCATCTTTAATCTGAAGACACTTAAAACGTACGCGCCATCTCGTGGAGGCAACTTTCTATAACGATCCACAACGAAACATTACCTTTGAAGAAGGATTCCTGATACCATCCCTGTGCATTCCACTAGTTTTGGCCGTGTATGTGTAACACATTTGGGACTACAGGGTTTACTAGAATCCCACCACTCTACACACCCAGAGTCACGCAGTAGGACGTTAGATGAGCGCTTGTCGCTCCGCGTCGGACTTGATTATTATTCATTGCTTGAAAGAAATGTTATACTTGTTTTCTACTAAGTTTTAATGTATAATGTTAGCCATTATGTACAGTTGCTTAGCATTAGCCCAATAATAAAGGTCATGGGCGAATGGCCTCAAATCTGTTGTTTTAAAATAATATTATATTGCAAGTATGGCTTTTGCAAATACCAAGTTCGAGCTAGAATCGTATCTCCACATGGCCTAAGATGCACCGTTTACAGATGGTCCATTTTCTCAATAAATAATTTAGGAGACACTCCTCCCGAAGCCTTCCCCATGTGGCGGCTACGCGCCTCGTACTTTGTCCTTCGTCTATCTTTTCCTCTTTTTTCCCTTCTTGCGTCTCATCCCTGATACTGACCTTCATTGTCAAGCAATACTGAATGTTGCTTGCCATTGACACCAGGGGGCAGCACGTAACAATACAAAGCAATGACATTCATAGGAGCCAAACTGCCATGCCAGCGCCCTTCCCACACTTCAGCGATATACCACTGCCCACAATGCTAAGAACTATTTTTACAGTTGGGCGCGAGCTCTGGGGAAATCCAGCAAATGGCAAGCCAATACGGCCGCGAAGTCGTCGCTGAACAAAACATTAGAAATTTCTGATGACTTTGCATGTTTGTTGCGGTGGACAATTTAGATAGTTTTACAGCTGAATACGCAAAAATGTATCAAAGAACAATCGTTCGAGAATTAGGTATTATGGCCAAGCATCCCGAAATTTCATGATAA